TATATGGGATCTGCATTATCTAAACTTCTTGCTGTATCTGAGCGTTATCCAGAGTTAAAGGCAACTCAAAATTTTTTAACACTGCAATCTCAAATAGAAGGTAATGAGAATAGAATTTCTGTAGCTAGAAGAGATTATATTAACTCTGTTAGAAATTTTAACATTTTAATAACTACATTTCCCGGCCTTGTGTGGAACAAAATATTTTTCTCTCGTGAAAAATTAGCAAACTACACAGAAAGTGATTCTATAAAAGAAACACCAAAAATAGCTTTTAACTAAAATGAAAAAAATTAGATATTTATATTGTGTAATACTATGTTTTTTATTTCTTACTGAGTCTAGTTTCGCTCTATCTTTTCCTACTTTAACTGGACGTGTAGTTGATCAAGCAAATGTTATATCTCCAGCTATAAAAGATCAGATAACAGAAATTCTTACAAATATAGAGAATACTACTACAGATCAAATAGTAATATTAATGTTACCAACTCTTGATGGTCATTCTATAGAAGATTACGGTTATAAATTAGCTAGGCACTGGGGTATTGGTCAAAAAGATAAAGATAATGGAGCTATAATTATTGTAGATGTGAATGAAAGATCTATACGAATAGAAGTTGGTTATGGCCTTGAAGGTAAACTTACTGACGCTGTGACTGGACTTTTGACAAAACTCTAACCTATGCCAAAAATGGCATTTTTAAAAAAGAAGTGATTTAGAAAAATTATGCTACTTTTGTGTGTATTTTTTCATATATTTGGTCAGCTTTTTCTAAAATTTTCTTTCTAAAATTCTCCTTAGATTCTTGCTGTGTATTTATTGAGGTTTTTGAAATAATAGGCATCTTTCCAAAACTCGACTTTATTTCTACTTGCACTTTTGTGGGGTCTCTAGACTTGCGCATGATAGGTTGATTTTTCTTTGATGTAAAACTTTTTCTTATACTTCTCTCATCTGGTATGCCTCTTTTTTTAATTTCACCTGTATATACTTGATCAAAAACATCACTAATAGCTGCAGCTCTAAATATATTAGATGGTGATTTGGAGTTTATTCTTTTTTTATTTTCCCAAGCTCTAACATTAATTTCATTTAGCAAATCAGA